CCATAATTGACCCAAATATGACATTAAAGATAAAATATCCTCCGATATTTACAAAAACTATCAGGGAAAGTGAACGAAATAGTTTACGTAGCTTTTCGTTTGCCAAATCTAAAAATTTAAATATAAACATATTAAATGTGCTGTCATTCACAATTAGAAATTCACACGATTTTTTGCCTTTTTATGTTATTGATGTCCGAAAAATTTTTCAGAAACTCCGATAAAAGTTAAGTTTTTTCATTTTTTATCTTTTCAAATTTCTAAACAATCAAAAATATATCTATATTACTATTGAGAAACTTTTGGATATCTAGGTTTTTAGGCAATGTTGCCTGCGCAAACTACATTGAGAAGCCTATGCCAAATTACCTAAGCTTAACTTTTACCTAAACATCTTTCAGCTTTGAAAATATTATTACATAAAGAAATTTCAACACAGAATATTGGAAAAATATTTAAATTTTATGAAAAATTTTTTTTCCAATTTTCAATTCGTTTTCAAATTTTCTGATTATAGATTCACTAAATCATCATTAATAAAGTCAAACCTCCTTTATATTTTACCAAAAATCCGACAATTATATGAAGCAAAATTGAAGCTAGCAAAAGAGGTACATAAATTAATCGAGTATCAATAATTGATGTTATTCCAAAAATATCGGCAAGATTGCCGGTTACTGGAAAGTCTGGATGTGCTCCAATTTGCGACAATATTTGATAAAAAATAAATACGGAAAGAGTAAAAATCGGCAATGTGTGTAGGAATATGTAGAAACGGAAATTGATATTGGAATAACTACAAAGCGTAAAATGTTTTAGATTAATTTTCAGTATACCATATTTTTCATTAAAAAGAGTGTCATGCCGCTCAATTATTAAACTTCCTCCCAAAAGGCCATTCAATTGGTTAGAGACTCTCTCAAATAGAAAAATACAGTAGAATACATTTTTGTCAAGATTAGAAGACTCTAAACTTCACAAAAATTCTAGATTAATCGAGGCCTGTGAATCACCTTGTATGTTTAAATATTATCTTCTCACCTAACCAATATTCCTCCTAATTGAATATTTAAAAATCGTTATCAATTTAATTAACAAAAATTTTTTAATAATCAATATCATAAAAATAAATCAACTAGTTCTCAATCTATTGAATGTCACCCCGAATGAAGCATTTGTCTCAGATTTCTAGGCTAGAGTTTGAAGCATTATTACTCGGGTTAATTATATTATAAGTATTTATTTCCTTTTAAAAACATACAAAATTGGAAATGAAACTGCGATAACTCTATCAACGCTCATAGTTAAAAACATTATGTTAACAATATTAGCACAAACAACAGAATGACCCTGAATTTTAATCGCCAAAAAGACTGGTATAAAATTTATTCCAGTCAATGTAATAAAAAAGAAGACAAAATGTCCACTTTGGTGACCAATTTCCAAAAATGAGTTAATTGCTAATAAAATACTCGTTTTGGACTTGAATGTTGTATATTTGCCCCTAAATTTATTCATTTAAAAATATTTTATATTAATATAGTAGATAAAATATGTATCAAATACTAATAAAAACAGCCAAAAGTTTAGATTTTTGGCTTATAAGTACGTTGCTAGTAAAATTTATGAGTCCAAATATACTGATAGATACAAGTATGACCAAAAAATTATTGACTTGTACGAGTAAGAGCATATCTGTAATTTTAAAGACTGGGCCTAAACTGCGTTGAATTTAGAAAATTTCTTGTATCGTATATGTCTAATCTATTTCTCGTACTCGTACACAGGTACGAGTACGAATTTTGGTACGAGCTTCCAATCATGGACCTAACCCCATCGGTGTTTTTCATTGTAGGGTTTTCAAATTTCCACATTATATAGCAGACCACACCATCATAAAACTAGTTATACAGGGTGTTTCAGCTGAAAAGCGCTATTTGAAAAATCCATAACTTTTTACACCGTGGACAGATTTGAATGAAATTTGGTATTTTTTATCTATATTTTATGGCAATTTTTTTGACATAAAAATTATGTCTAAATTCGAACCCTAACCCTGTATTTCAATTTCGTACTCTACCGTTCTCTTTTTTCCCTCTTTTCATTGTGTGATATCTTACTTCATTTATTTTCCTGCGTATGACAAAGAGTAGATACTGTATTGCATTTGTAGTGTCTATCGCCTAGTGTTTACTCTAGTGTCTATCGCCCGCTCGTAACTAACAAAAGGGAGTAAGAATGCATGTGCGGAAAAAGGGAAAAACAGAACGGTAGAGTACGAAATTATCTCGGGTTAGGGTTCGAATTTAGACATAATTTTTATGTCAAAAAAAATGCTATAAAATATAGATATAAAATACAAAATATCTATAAAATCTGTCGACTTAGTAAAAAATTATTGAGTTTTCAAATAGTATTTCTTAGTTGAAACACCCTGTATTTTGTTCAAAATTTATTTCTATGACTAGTGCGTGATACCATGGCTCCCATACAAAATACCGATTCTTAAAATATGGAATCTCAAAATATCGAATCGGCCAAAAAAGCTCAAAATATCGACAAATATCGACAATGCGGCAAAGGCCAGTTGAGTCTGAACACTTTTACGAACCTGCGGAAAAAATCTTAAAAATAAGAGAAAAAATTTTTCTATGGTAAAAAAATGTGCTGATCACGAAGCTGAGCTCGGATTTTGAAAAACTCGAACCCCGGACCCGGACCGAATTTGAATCCAAAACTGAATCTCAATTTTTCGAATGATAGCTCATATGAAAGAGCTCATCGAGTTGCATCGATGACAGCAAAATCAATGAAATTCGACCTGATTGGACTGAGATACAGACCCCTGAATAATCAAAACAAGACCTGCACTCAATTGGCGGCACTCAAACGGCCCTTTTTGTTTTTAAAAAATGTCGACATTTTTAGCTACTTTTTAGCCGATTCAGTATTTTTTTCAGCTGTAATAAAATTAAAAAAATACAAAATTAATTAATGTTATTCCTTTTTTAATATGTATTTCTTTCTTTAAAAATATTTATTTTAATGTTAAGTTTTTATTTCTACAAAATTTCAGCATTTAATTTACTGCAAGTCCTAACGAAAATAGTTTTAGTGAGAAAATAAAAAAGAAATAAATTTTTATTTAATTTGCTTGTTAAAACAATTTAATTTAGGTATTTGTTATTTTGTGTTCTCCGAACAAATTAATGGTGTAATTGAAGTAAAATAAATTGAAATTAACAAATTGTTTTTTAAGAAATAAACATTTTATTACTTTATTTTTAAAGTTTGCTATTTTTCTGGATTGATTATGTCTCAATTTTAAATTAATATTATTATATTTTATTAAATTATAACCTTATATTTCTTTTAAAATATATCGCAATTCCAAAATTTTAAAAGGTCGACTTGTTGGGATCCGGAGTTTTTATTCCAATAAATCCCATTTAATTCCTAAGCTTTTCTGTCTTCTAATATTGAATATGTAAAGTTTGGTAGCAGTATGTCACAGGTTGAGGTAAAATTTGTATTGGAATAGAGTCGAAAATATCTGAGTTTCATGTACGGCCTCCAGTAACAATGACACTCTTGGCAAATATAATTTGTTTTATTTATGATTTAAATTACTTGCAAATTCCTTAATTTCTGTAAATAATGTTTAAAATTACTTAACTAAACATCGCTTTTAAACATTTTTAGTTTGTATTTACTTTAAATTTTTCGCAAAATAAATTCTTAAATTATATATTTTCGGTAAATTTGTAATAACCTAATTATTTCTTTGCTTTATTTTTTGCAGTTTTTTCGAAAAAAATTTTTTCATTTAAATAAATAATGCTAATACAGTGGTGGTCATATGTTTATGGACAACCACGATTTATCAATAAAATCCCTAATAACAAAACTAAATAAGAATCAACCGAAAATAAAAAATGACAGTTCAAATACTCAGTTCATTTGCTATAAAATAGCTTAGTTTTATTAAAATCCACCTTCATTATCATAAATAAAATCCGGTTCAAATCTCTTCACCTCTATTTTTAACGCGTCATATGTTTATGGACAAATGATTTTCCATCTAAAACTTTGTAGATTAATGCCAAAAAATGAGATTATTGCTACTCCGTGGACATTTTCATTGATATTGAGTAGAAAATAAAAAGACCGGAGTCTACAACTTCTTTTTTCATCGAGATCTCAAATCTCGAAAATCAACGGGAAATTGGGGTACAGTACTTTAAATAATATTTTAACCCTCTAGAGCTTTTATAAAAAATTTTCTTTTGAGCTCATTTGAAAGCCCATTAAATTTGCTACAAGTTAGTACAGGTCGCATTTATTCCAAAAAATAATTGTTCGAAATACATCCATTTTCACAGAAAAATGGTCAAAAATCACCTAAAATACCCCAAAAATGATAACCTAAGAAATATTCCTGCCTCCATCTTCACGAGTTTTTGTTGGAAGAATAAAAGCCTAGGCTATCTTGTAGCAAATTTTATGGGCTTTTTAATGGGCCCAAAAGAAAATTTTTTTATAGCTCTAGGGGGTTAAAATATTTTTTTAAGTACTGTACCCCCATTTCCTGTTGATTTTTGAGATTCTAGATCTCGATGAAGAAAGTAGGTACAGACTTCATTCTTTTTACTTTTCTATTCAGTAACGTTGGAAATGTTCACAGAAATTTTTGTATAATTTTTGCACCAACTAAAGGAGAGAAATCCAAGGTTATTTAATTTGTCCATAAACATATGACGCGTTAAAAATAGGGGTGGAGAGATTTGGACCGGGTTTTAATTATGCTAATGAAGGTGAATTTAAATGAAACTGAGGTATTATATAGCAAATGAACTGGGCATTTGTACCACCGAATTATATTTTTGATTTATTCTTATTAAGTTTTGTTATGAGGGATTTTATTGATAAATCGTTGTTGTCCATAAACATATGACCACCACTGTATTATAAAATTAAATATTTAAAATAATCATTAATTAATGATTGGTGTATTTTACATTTTTAAATTATTATTAATTAATTTTCTTTTAATATTTTTATTTTCAATAATTTTAATCGTTCAAGCAACAATTTCAAAAGATTTTTCTAACTTTTTAATCAAAGAATATGGAGAGGAAGTAGAAAAGTTAATTGCTATAAGAGATTTGGGTTTTAGTGGAAGTTTTGGGGGTGGACAAGAAAATGAAGGAAATGGGTGAATTTTATTATTGTAAATTTCTAAAATCAACTTTAAAAATCACACATACATACGTATAAACCTAAAGTCATAATAAGCAAAATTTTGATTCTTAAGTGAAATTTGGGAGCATAAATGTTATTAATTGTTCGGATAGCTTGGAATGATTAGTTTGAATATTCCATTGTTCCAATAATTGCATTGGAAATATAAACATATAAAACTTGAAATGCTTAGGAATCATATAAGCCTGGCAAATAAATAAACAAAAAACTAACAGTCCTTGTGGGGATGGTGAGTGTTTATTAGCTTCACATACAAGAGCTATCACGATAATTTCTAATCCAATCTAAGCTATTTTATATGAAAGGTTTGAATACTTTTCTATAATTAGAATAGTTTAAAAAATTCTATCAAAAAAATTAAATTATAGACGTATACTAACAAAAAGACGGCCAATAATCTTCGTTCATGGATTGACAAACGTTGCGGGAACATACGAATATATTCGACGTTATTTCCTCACAAAAGGATATAATAATTCAGAACTTTATGCAACAACATATTCCTATGGGGTTAAAAGATCTCTTAGAGATAAGATGGAGCGCAGACATATAACTCAGGTATATATAACTCATATTATAAGTTACCCAATTTTCTAAATTTACAATTTACATTTTATTTGATAAAACAAAATACTTTATCTGCTCTGATAATTACCCCGTGTAATTATTGTTTCATCACCTCACTGTAATTCACTTTCTCTATAAGTTCATCCTCTCTCTCTAGAATTATTGTTTCATTCTCTCTCGGAATGTTCTCCCATTATTTACCAAAAATTTAGTTTGAAAATTTATTTTGATATCGGCACTATATAACCATAATTAACTAAAACATAAAAATATAGACACAAACTATATCATAGACACAAAATAAATATTATTTTAAGATTCGTCTTTTGATCGAAGCAGGTTCTCGGTATAAAAATTCCAATATTGACGTTGTAGCATTTAGTATGGGATCACCTATGGCAAGAAAAGTAATTATGAAATATTAACAGACGAAATATTAAATTTCTTTTTAAATAAAAAGGCAATACTCGGTGGAATTTGTGTTGATACTGGACAAAATTTAGGACAACCATTAACTAGTTTAGTCCATACATTTATTGGAGTTGCTGGTGCTAATAGAGATGCCGAGCCTTTATGCAAATTATTATCTTGGGCAGAACCCTGTAATCAAATAAATGGAATTTCTTGTAACTCAGCATTTCTGAGAGATATTAATTCAGTGTAAATATTTAAATTATTATTAGTAGTATATTTATTCATGATAGTAACTCCTATTGATGACCAAAATTTCAGTGTCCAATATTCCGTTTCTTACTTGGTGACCAAAATTCTTTTGACCAAAATTCAGGCTCCCTTACTGGATGCGATAATATTTAAAGTAATTACTTTGACTTGCTTCCAAATCAGCTCATCTGGTTCAGAAGCATTGAATTAATTAAAAATATTTAGTGTAGGTTATGAGGCATTTTCACGAATTTCGGTAATTCGTTCTGTAGATGATACAATTGTTGGTAACATTGCATGTGACGGGCAGTCTGTAAGTTCAATTAATGGACAAAATGATGAAATTGTGGTTAATATTTACTAATTAAAAAAATATTTTTTAAATTAATCTAGTTGAAGGGTTACTCTCACCCAATGATAATTTATGCAACTCAGGATATTATTTATAGAATAATTCAAGGATTGAAGAATTAGATTAAAAATTACGTCTTATATAATGATCTCAATTATAAAAAATAATTTTATTTAAAAGTGTAAGGTACTTGAGTGCCATCCACCTCCAAACCCCCTCTCGCCAACACAATCCATCTATTATTTCCAAATATCTCCTCCATAATATATTGTTCCTTCACCTTTCATGTTTCCCCATCCCTTCCCATCAACTATTCATTCACCTCTTCACATGTTTTACCAGATTGTTCACCTTTTTACATTTTTTTTGTATTTATCCAACTACGCACCTTCTCATTAATCTTTGTAACGCCCCATCAACTACAACTACACAACCAACCCTGGAAGAGAAGTAAGATGTTCATTCGAAGATTACTTTTATTTAGGAAGTTGTTGAAAGGAATGAATGTTTGAGAGCTTATGTCTGAAAACCTCCCGAGATTTTTTTTTAGAAATAAGTAATTTTTTGATTTTTTTCTGTTTGAAAATAAAAAATTCTGTTTGACAAACAAATAATTTTAGTATTTTATTACTTTTAAAAATGTCTAAATTTTATTTTTTCAAAAATTTTCCCATGTTTTTTATCTCAAAGAAATATTTTTTAAAATAAAATAAATATTCCCATAGTTTTTCTTCATTTATACCCTTATAAAATAATTTTCGATGAAAACATTGAGAAAAACATAATAATAAACATTTAAAATGACCTTGCTAAATTAATTTTTTCATTTATTATTCACATGCTTATTACTTTAAAATGGCTTTAAAATTGTATTTTGGCCTGATAATTAAATATAAATAAATATTTAAATAATTTTGTTTATATATTAATTTTTATTAGAGACCGGATCGAGACGGGATCTGAAATAAAAATCTCAGGTTTCTAAATTAATGTTTTTCGAGATATCTCGTAAAAATTTTTCGAATCTTATCAAGATCGTTAATATTAAATTTGGTTGTTTGCTTTCTATGGTCTATTAAGAAATTATAAAACACTGTGAAAAATTTGTTTTTCTTACGAGAAATGCCTGAAAATTTTGCAAAAATCTCTATCTAAATTTATTAAAAATTAATTTAATTTGTTGCAGAATTTAACAATTTTATATATTTTTACATTTTAAATAATTTAACAGAAAAAATAAATTAAATGTTGGCTTCAATTATTTTCTTTCATTTAGTATTATTTCAATTCATTTTTATAGAAGCAATTCCAAATCCTCTAAGTTGTAAGCCTATAATTATTAATAGTTATTTGTTCAGCTTTACATATATTTCTTAAATATTATTTAAATAAATATATAAACTTTGTTTGAAATTTGTATGTCTTCGGTGAGGGGATCAACTAAAAGCCTGATCAACCATTAAGCTCTCCCTATGAAGGTCCGATCAACTGGCATTAGAAACAGCCTGATTTGGAGGTTCCCCCTCAGCTATCATAATTAATTAATAATTAATTTTTTAATTTAAGATTTTAAACTTGCTTATTATGAATGGCGCTTTTTTCGTTTTCCAATGGAAAGCGAATACTATGCTTTAAATATTCTTGAAAGTCATTATGCAAATTTATTGAATAATCAGTCAACAGATATTTTTAAATTGAAATTACAAATAACAATTATTTCACATACCTTTATGTTTAATAATGTTAAAAGGAATTTAAATAAGTTAGAGGAAAAGACTGGGTAATATTTATTAAAATTTGAGATTATGTCGAAAAGCCTTTATTGGCGAACCGACCCTTTATTATTCCGGATTAGTCGCTGCTCATAATTAAAAAAGATTTGTAATTTTCTAATTTTTTAGGTTTTTAGTATCTGGTTTCCCATAACACCATCCATTTTAAGTATTTTTTAAATATCGGATTCGGGTAAGTATCGTATCCCTTGTACAGACCTTTTTCCCATTGTTCTCGTTTTAAGTTATCAGTACGAATTCTAATTTTGGTACGAGCATAAAAGATTATGAGTAAAAAAGATTTTCAGTTTTTTGTCAAACTTCATACAAATTTATGTTTTTTTTATTTAGACTAGCTGATTTAAGCAAAATGTCATATACGTACGCCTATTCACAACTCGAAGGTATTTGTAATTTGTTAAAACAAAAACAAATATTATCAAATAAATATTTTGAAGAAATAAATAAAATAAAAAGAAAAATAAATAAAAAAGAAAATTTAATAGAATGTACTAATCAAAATGAAATTGAAAAAATAATTGAAAATTGGGAAGAGCCCATTCAAGAAACAAATTTTATTGTTTTTGTTCAATATTTTTTAAAGAAAAGAAAGGATTTTTATTTAAAAATAGGGTAAATTAAATATAAGAGTTTTTAAAATTTATTTTAATAATGTAAAGCATATAGTAAAAATCTAGCCATATGGGACTAAAAAATTGCCATGAGTGTGTGTAGTCTTGATATCCCCTTAAAACAACAAATATATGATATCCCCTCTCTCGATATCCCCTTAAAATAACAAATCTCCGAAATAATATCGCCAACAAGGATCGTGGCGATTTTATGTAATGTATGTAATTCCGAAGGCTAAGCGGTAGGCGGCGTGGTATAATGGATGACACATCAGTCCAGTCTACTGACGATACTTGCTTCTTCGTACCCAAATCACACTATAGTCAACCCAAATCCCGCTTAATCCCTTGATATCCATCTCATTCTTCTGTTATCTCTCGAGATCCGCTTAAACTAACAAATCCCCGAAATAATATTATCCATTGATTTTCCACCCGGATCCAACAAGGATCGTGGGCGATTTAATGTAATTTCGGCAGATTAAATGAGATATAGTCGGATTAACGAAAATAGATGGGATTTGGATGTAACTGTGAGTTGGAAATTAACTGGGATTGGAAATAACTTGGATTTGGACTTGATATACCTATTTAATATTTTAATTAAAGTAAACAAAATGATCCTAAAAGAGCAATTTGTATTTTCATACAATTATTTGGTTTGGCTAATTCTGTAATGATCACTCAAAAATATACTCTTTTCTTTGGAGATAGTATTGGTTATAAATTTTTACATAAAAATTAATTCCAAAAAATTTTTTTCAGACGAAAGTAATACAGGGTGCGGCATAAGTAACCGGACACATTTAAATTCCTTATAACTTTTTTTGGTGCAATGTTTTTAATCGATTTTATGCTTATTTTTTAGCTCATTCAATTCTCTATTATGGCTAGTCAACGTGATTCTATAATTTCAATTTTTTCGCAAAAAATTTCAGTCCGCAAAATTTCATGTCTTTTGAATGTCCCAAAGTGCACTGTACAATACAAAATCAAAAAATTCTGGTGAAAATTTTTTGGGAGAAAATTTTTTTGAAATTAATTTAGTAATCATGGCACAACTAAGAACTTACAAAAAAGTGAAAGACCTCGTTCCGTCAGCACTTCCAAGTCTATCAAAATGATCAAAATTAGGGTGCATCTCAAATATCGACCCTCCGTAAGAAAATTGGCTCGTGAAACCGGAATAAGTGAGATAACCGTCAGACGAATAGCTAAAAATGAACCTGCGTTAATATCCTACAAAATCCAAAAAGCACAACTCCTAACAGAAAAAACCAAAAAAGTTAGGCTTGAAGGATGCAAACTGCTCCTCCAGTGGCACGCATGTCCGGACATTCTCTTCACAGACGAAAAAATTTTTACAATAAAAGCCGTTCACAGCCATCAAAATTATAGAATCTGGACTACAGAATCTCCTCTTTCCGATAGGCTTATCACTCATTCCCAACATCCCCAATCTGGTATGGTTTGGGCCGGTATTAGCGCGACAGGCAAAAAACCCCTTATTTTCGTGGATCCTGGGGTAATAGTCAACAAAGACTATTACTTGCGAGAAATTTTTCAGCGTGTTTTGAAGCCTCGGTTCAAGAGCCATTTCGGTCGCATGGTCCGGATTTTCCAACAGGACACTACTCTGGTACACAAAGCGAAAGAAGTTCAGGACTGATGCAAGGCCAATTTCCATGGGTTCATTAGCGCTCAGTAATGGCCGCCCTACTTCCCGGATCTAAACCCATGGATTATTCTGTTTGGTCAATTTTGGAGTCCAGGGTCTGTGCTATGCCTAACAAAAGTTTGGAGTCTCTGCGCCACTCTCTCACCCGAGTGTGGGACTTAATTACACTTAAAGAGGTGCGTGCTATTAGCGAAAATTTTTCTTCACGCCTTCGCCTCTGGATCAAAGCCAAGGGTGGGTATCTCGAATCTTCTTGATTATTTTTGTTCCCTATTTAATTCTCTATCATTTGATTGTATTTCGATTTTATTTGATTGTGTTTTAATAAAGTTATGAGAGAAAACAAGTGTCCGGTTACTTATGCCGCACCCTGTATTTTAGTTGAATTATTTAATGGATATTTTGACGAAAAGACTAAAATTGTAGATAAATGGAGAATAAAATTGACAATAGATTATTTTTTATATAAAGAATGGTTTCACAAAATTAATAAAAAATGTAAAAAAATATTTTTTTAATTAATAATTATGAATTATTTAATTATAGATGAAGAAGAATTAAAGGAAA